CATCTCTGTCCATCCCCTCCTGCTCTGGAGATCATCTCTGTCCATCCCCTCCTGCTCTGGAGATCACCTCTGTCCATCCCCTCAGGCCTTTAATCTATGCCAAGTCATCCCTGTGTGTCCTCTGGGTTTACAGAACGCCATCAACCTTTACAAGAGGATTCCCGAGAAGGTGATGCCCCAAGCCCTGGTGATCTACTTCGCCGTGAAAATCCTCCGCATGGTGGAGGAGCTCCACAGCTGCCGGATCATCCATGGGGACATCAAACCCGACAACTTCATCCTTGGGGAAAGGCGAGTGTTTCTCACCACCCCCCTCCCATCCCGCGCGAGACGCGGCGCCGGAGCCTCGACTTAACGTGGGTTGGTTCTTGTCGTGCCTGCAGGTTTCTGGACAATGACACCTGCGACATAGATGGGCTCTCTCATGGCTTGACCCTCATTGACTTTGGCCAGAGCGTTGACATGAAGCTCTTCCCCGAGGGGACGGCGTTCACCGCCCGCTGCGAGACGTCTGGGTTCCAGTGCGTGGAAATGCTGACGCGGAAACCCTGGAACTACCAGGTAGGGGATTCCCTGGAGCCTCCCACTGAGAATATTAGACTTTTAACTGTAAGGGCTGTGCCTTCAGCACACTCCCGAGCTTCCCTTTTGCAGGGCTTCTCCCCCCCCCGGGGGTTTTCCAGTTTTCAGTGGTCTCGGTGTATTTTTAACATGAAGCTGGCGTGTTCTTCGTTTAGACAGACTACTTTGGCATCGCAGCCACGATTTATTGCATGATCTTCGGCACCTACATGCAAGTAAAGAACGAAAACGGAGTCTGGAAGCCCGAAGGAACCTTCAGGAGGTCAGTGTCAAAACCCTTTCCCAAACCTTTGCCTAGAAAGACCTGTGGTCAGCCCCGGCTTGGTTTGTTGATTCTATCACAGCTCCGACTGGGGGAGGTAAATTCATATTTTAACAGCTTGATTTTAGCTTTCTTTTGGTGCTCCTTTCACAGGCTTGCCAATGCTGAGCTGTGGAAGGAGTTCTTTGAGACATTGCTGAACGTCCCCAGCTGCCACAGCCTGCCCTCACTCGGAGCCCTGCGCCAGAAGCTGAGGGACTTATTCTGCACATCCTACAAAAAGGAAATAAGGTTCCTTCGGAACAGACTCGTTGTGCTGCTCATCGAAAACAAACGCTCCCGAAAATGACTGTCTATTTTTCATTTTGCACAGTTACCGAAGGCTCGGTGTTTTACGGCTGCCAGATGTTTTTGTGATAACTTGATTTCAAATAAATGGTTTTGGCGTTGACTTCAGCAATGGTGACCTGCATCTCTCTGTGCTTTTAGCAGAAAAAATACACTAAAATGGGTTGTTGAACTCGCCCGGGTTTGGGAGGCTTTGAATAAAGGCTACTCCTGCTCTACCTGTTCTTAGGGACTTCTGGGATGGAAGAAATAGAGGTTTGCAGGTCAGATTTAGGTTGGACAGGACTGAACTCACCCTGGATGCTCTCACTTCTGACCTCCCACAATGTCATTGTTAGGGCTTGGGGGAAAACCAAGAGGAAAGGGCCTCTTTTTTTGCCTTTGCTACGGCAGAATGTTGGGAAAACACACCAGGAAAGTGACAGGAAAAGCGTTCCTTTAAAAGGACTTTTATCAGTGCAACGCCAGGGGGAGGAGAGGGCATTAATTTCATTTGTGCATCTCCCCACAGGAGGGAGACAACGGCCTTTCCTAAATCTCCCTCCCTCTGCCTCTGTTTCAGGGGTATCTTTCATCTGCTCAAGTTGTTCAGCTGGAAAACCAAGGTGAGCTAAGCCCAGCCCAGCTGGGACAGCCTGGGCTAGTGAGGAAGAGCAGGGATTCTGGGATCCAGCACGGAGCAGTGTGTTGGTTCTCAGAGGGTTTTGCTGTCCTCCTGCAGCTGGGGCTCCTCTTCCCTGCCTTTGTGGCAAAACTCCTCGGATTCCCCTTGGAAGCAGCCTGCTTTCCCTCTTGTCAGGCTTTCTGTGGCATATGGAAAAGCCTTCGGCTTTGATCCGAAGCAGCTGGTTCCTGACTCAGCCGGAGCAAGTTGCACAGGGAGAGGTGGATCAGCTGGAGAGACCTCGGAGCTGCTGGAAACATAAACATTCAGTGCTGGGGTGGCTTTTTTGTTCCCTTTCTTCCCCAGTTTAACTTTTTTACGAGCTGAGCAGGAGCCAGCTGTTCTCTGGCCAGGCCGAAATCTCTGCCAGGCTCAAGTTTTTAGATCTATACTGTAAATTCTGCTTTTTTAGTTCCTCCTAACGCAGAGGCTGCTCCGAAAAGCGCGGAGCCTTACGAGCACGATGGAGCTTTAACTCCCTTCTTTTCCCCTCATAAACGCTGCCATTTTCCATTAAATACCCTTAAAATGAACCCCCTGCACCAGCCCTCTGTTCCTGGGCACCCCCCTCCCCACTGATCATCCCATGGGAAGCAGGAAGGATAAAGGGGGTAAAACCACCTCATGCGGCGCGAAAACGGATCCACGGAGTGACGCGCTGGGGAGGGGGGATGGAGGCTCCTGTTTTTTCTGACTGTTTTTTAAACCAAGCTGCTACAAAATCAGGAGCAGGAGGCAAAGCCCCAGCTGGCCCCGGTGATATTTCCTCCCTGGCACGCGCCGGATCCACGCCGGTGAAGATCTCGAGGTATCCCCAGAGTCGCCCTTTAGAGATAACTCATCTTGGGGCCTCCGCCACCCACACGGAGAGGAGAGATTTCCTGGCGCGTGGGTGGCTCTGCTTTTTTTCTTCTGCAGAAAACCCAAGTTTGCTCATTTTTCACCCTCTGCCACCGAGCCCGGGGCCCCCCACTGGGGTCTGGGGCTCTCTCCCAGCTCCTCCATCCCTTGCTGGTGGCAGCTGGTTAGCCCTGGCCAAGACCTTTCTGCTGTCAGCATCTCCCCTCGGTTCCCAGTCAGATTTCCAAATTATGGTTTTTAATGCATGGGGAAAAAAAAAAAACAAACAAACAAGTGAGAGGTTGTTAAAAGCTGCAGGTACCTCACTAATTAGTCAGACTCGTGCTAATGAAGCAGCGGTCCTGGTTCCCATCCGGGTGAGGCATTAAAGCCACCCAAGGCGATGTCACTCATTCCATTAGGAACAACAAACAACTTCAAATACGTGTTAACAGGTACCAAATTCAATTGGGGCAGCAGTGAATTCAAGTTACACCATTCCAGGGGCCACTTGGGTCATGACAGGACCATTCTTCTGTCCCTTGGTCTGTCACCACATCATCTTGCAGATGGATGGAAGCAGTGATAGCCTACATGAGGGTTTAGGTGTTTCTTTAACAAAAATACTCATCTATTTAACAAAACCCACGTATTTTTATCTGTAGCAAAACTTTGCTGTTTACAGTAGCCCCTGGGGACACAGAACACGCTGATGAGGGAGCAAAGGCTTGATTTGGGGTCGGTTTACTTTAAATTCAGCTCCTCACTGCTCACTTGGGATGGGGAAAACCCAGGTTTGCTCCCTGCCTGACACAGGGGATATGGAGTCACAGTGCAGGGAAAGCGACACCTGGTAACTCCCTCTGGATGGGAGAGGGGTTGAGGGGGCAGGTTTGGGGGTTTTTTTTGGTGTTGGTGATGTCACCCACAGGTGCCTGAGCCCGGTGGCAGCTCGGTGCACGTCCCACGGCTGCTGTCCCCACATCTGTGCCCGGCTCTGTAACCCACGTGCTGTCCCGCTCCGCTGAGCATCCCTGAGTCCCCCTGCTCTCCCTCCTCTCCCCGGTCAGGAAAACCTCCTCCTCTCCCTCCTCTCCCTTCTCCCCTGGCTCCTGGACCACCTCGGAGGAGCCCCGGACGCCGCGGCAGCTCCCGCCTTCCCGCGGCTGCAAGCCGGCGGCACCGCGCCGTGGTAAAGGTCAGGCTCCAAGCCCGGCTCAGATAAAGCCTCGCGTTTGAGGTGTGTGGCTTAAACCTGATTTTATCTGCCAGCGCCTGAGTGAAATACCATTTGTCACGATGGTTGGAGGAGAAGGAGGAGAACAAGGCATCGGGGGTTTTTTTTCCGTTGCTGTGTTGTTCAGTTCAAAATGGGTTTGGTGAGCAGCTGCTGGGTAAGGGGGGGGAATTGTTAGGAGGGGTTTTCCCTGTGATACTGTGGGTTTTCGTGCCAGACACACTCTCCTTTCCTCCATCCTCCTCCCTGCCTGCTTCCCAGTGGCAGGGACAGCCTGTTGGGATTGGGCTGGACACGATGATCTTGAAGGTCTTTTCCAACCTAAGTGATTCCATGACAGCACAGAGTGAGGGCTGAGAGATGCCATGGTGGGGATCAGGAAGCTGCAACAACGTGGGATCCCCACTATTCCCATTCTCCATCCCTCTCCACCTCCCCTCTCCTTCCTCTCTTCTCATTTCCATGTGGGAGACAGGACAGCTCCCCACAACAGAGATGCTGGTGGGTCCAAGGGAGCTTTGCTAAAGGCCACCAGCAGCTGTCGGTGCTGCAGGAGGAGGGCTGGGATGTGGCATCTCCAAAAGAGCATCCCCAGGGAGCTGGGCAGTGGATGCTGCAGAGCCCGGGGCAGCGGTGAGGGGCAGGTTTCAAGGCCCCCTCTCTCCCTCCGTGCCCGCAGACGGGCACAGTGCCAGGCTGCCGAAAATCCATGACCTTTGGGATTGTGGCTTCGGTGCAAATACCTCCGAGATGGCTCACAACAACAGGAACGAGGACACCGTCGAAACGGATTTGTTCCAGGAGGCTGGTGCTGTGATTCACGGGGGGAAATGGGGTCCGGGGAGGGGGGGGGGGGGGGTATGGACGTCGGTGGCTCTCCAAAAACCCAAGGGCAGGATGAGCCCCGCGAGAAGGGCCGGTTGAGTTTGGGGGTTGAAAAGGACGGGCTGTTCCCCATCACCTTCTGCTCGCATGAGCCGCCCACACAGAAACCAAACCGAGCCAGGAGCAGAAAACAGACGCAGCATCTGCCGGCTGGTCCCGACAGCCCCGGTGCCTGCGGAGCGACCCCCGCGCTCTGCCTCCGGTGGCTCCCGGATCCAAGGCAAGAGGAGGGAAGCAGGGATCCCTCACGGAGCCCCGCCGGCTCCGTGCCGCGGGCACCGCTGCCGGAGGGCTGGGAAAGGAGGCACAAACCTGATTTCCAGCCCTGCTTTCTCCCTCACTTTCCCGGTGTGGGAAGGTGACGGTGTGGCCAAACTGGCTGGAGGGACCCTCGAGCCTTTCCCTTCTGCTGCCTGTCCCTGCCTTCAAACTTCTACCTAATGAGTTTTCCTGATGAACTTCCCAAATTATTTTTGCCTCCCCCCAAACACCTGCACCCCGTTTTCCTTTCCATCCCGTTGGAGCAACGTGAAGGGGGTGGGAATAGAGCCAGGGGTGCTCCAGTAGTGTGCAGGAGCACACTCTCATGGATGTGTTGGGGGAATCCTGGGTGGGATGGGGTCCCTCAGCATCGGCTCCATCAGCAGCGCTCAGCCCCTGCAGCGGCTGTGCTGGGTTCTTCCTCTGCGTGGTCCTTCCTCTCCATCATCCTTCCTCTCTCCGTGGTCCTTCCTCCTCTCCGCAGCGCTTCTTCCCCTCCACGGTCCTTCCTCACGTGGAGTCCTTTCTCTCCACGGAGTGTGTGCAAGTTGTGCATGTACAGAGCAAGCGTTGTACACAAGGGGTGAGCCTGTGGTACATGAGGGGGGTGTGCACAGTGCAAGGAGTGTGTGTGTGTGTGTGTGTAAGGGTGTGAGTGCATGAGGGGTGTGTAAAGGCGAGTGCACAGTCCTTTCTCTCTGTGGTGTGCATGGAGTGTGCAAGCTGTGCATGTACAGAGCAAGTGTTGTAGATAAGGGGTGAGCCTGTGGTACATGAGGGGAGTGTGAACAGCGAAAGGAGTATGTGTGTGTAAGCTGAGGGGTATCTGAGGGTGTGAGTGCACAGGACAAGGGTGGATATGCAAAGGTGTGTGTATAGTGCGAGGGGGTTGTGTACACGTGTGAATGCAAGAGGAGTGTGTAAAGGTGTGGATAAAGTGTGTGTAAATAGTGAAAGGAGCGTGTGTGTAAGGGCGTGAGCGCAAGAGAGGCGTGTAAAGGTGTGGGTACACAGCACAAGGGGGAGGTGTGAGTGCAGGACGACCGTAGGGTAGGAAAAGCAAAGGGGGGTGTGTGGGTGTGTGTGTATGTGTCTGTAAGGCTACGAGTGCCCACACGCGTGTGGGTATACAAAGCTGTGAGTGCACACGCGTGTGTGTGAGCCTGTGAGCGCACGCATGTGCGCTCACAGGCTCACACACACTCGTGTGCACTCACACCCTTGCACACACACACACACACGTGCGCTCGCAGCGCGTGTGCAGGGCTGACAGTGCCCAGGGGCACCGCAGCGGTCGCCGGGCGGTCCCCGCGGGCGGTGCCGGCTCTGCGGGGCGGTCCCCGGGGCGGTGCCGGAGCCGCAGCCGGGGCGGTGCCGTGGCCCGTCTCGGGTGGGGGGCGGTGCCGTGGCCGGGGCGGTGCCGGGGGGCCGTGGGGAGGGGGGAGGAGGCCGGGGCGGTGCTGGGGCTGTAAACACGGGGCGGAGCGGGGTCGTGGCCGGCGCCGTTCCCGCGCACACCCGAGCGCAGCGGCGGCCGGGGCCGCTCCGGCAGCACCGTGAGCGGGGGGCCGGGGGAGCGCGGGGTTGGAGGGCAGGAGGGACGG